GAATGAACAATGAAATAATCAACAACACATGCCACCGTAACATCTGTCCCTCTCAGAGAGAAGGGCCATAGAATCCCTAGGATCTAACCACCAAATAGTAATAAAACCAGTGGATAAAGGAGGAGCTATAGTTATCCTTAACCGTGAAGACTACATAAAAGAAGTGAACAGACAACTCTCTGACATCACCTACTACAAAAAACTAGATGATTCTACTCCCCTTTTCACCTTGAAACTCAAAACTACCATCAAATCATTTCCATCAGAACTCCAGAAAAAATATAGAACTCGATCCCCTCACTACCCAACCCGGGGACTTTTTACATGCTCCCTAAAATCCACAAACAAGGGAACCCTGGCAGACCTATCATATCCAACCATGGAACCCTCACTGAGGAAATATCAGGTTTTGTCTAATCAGTCCTCAAACCTCTTGTCACTGAAAGAGCAAGTTTTGTCCAAGACAGAACAGACTTTCTACAAAAACTTAAAAACATAGACCACCTTCCCAGTAACACCCTTCTAGCCACCATGGACATTACCAGCCTATATACCAACATCCTACACCAAGATGATAGTCAAGCCTGCCTTACATATCTACAAGAGCAAGATTATAACTCAAAGTACAGACCCAAAGATATTACTAAACTTATACACTTCATCCTCACACACAACAACTTTACTTTCAATAGTCAACAGTTCCTTCAGACCATGGGCACAGCTATAGGCTAGGATCCCTCGTTGTAGACAAAGCCCAAGCCGCATACTGGGCTCTCCCAAGGGAGGAGGCCTATGATTATGAAAAAATAAAGGCGACAATATTACACCACTTAGAGCTCAGACCTGAGCATTATTGCAGAATATTCCAAGCTCGGAAGGGGAAGGAGGACTGCAAACCCAGGAATCTCATGCAACTCTTAAAGGACCTCCTGAATAAGTGGGTACTTCCGGAGAAGGTAAATTGAGCTACTTTAGCCGACCAAATTTTATTAGAATAATTCGTGAAGGACTTGGACAATGAAACCCAATTGTGGGTATGCCAGCATCTACTCAGGACGGCTGAAGAAGCGTTAAGAGTCGCTGAGGCCTTTGCGGCATCTGAAGTAGAGCGTTTCAAAGAAAGGGGTTATAAGAGCACAGGAGCCATCACCAAGAGGGATGAGGAGCCCTGGTGGGGGCCACCATGGTACCAGAGGTGTGGTGTGATACAGTGGAGTTGCATCTTACGCGGGCATTAGGTTCTAAAGTCAGCGCATAAGGCGAAAATCGCATATAGTCAAAATTACCGTGCCAGCGGTGACTGCCTCTGCTTCCAAAACCTCCCCCCCCCGCCGCAGAGCTGTGCTTAGAGCTGTGCAACCGGCAGCAACGGCACAGCGCGGGGTGGTGGTAGGGATGGCTGCATGCCGCCCGGCCACCACCATGCTGCCGCTGCCGCCCGGCGGCTGGCCATACAGCTCCAGGCACAGCTCCATGGTGACAGTGGGAGGTTTTGGAGGCAGTGGCCATCACTGCCATAATGGGCCTCCAGGTAAGCAGCAGCGCCGCGTGCAAACTCAAGCCCCCGCCCTGCCCCCCCTCTCACCCTGCGTATAGTTGAATTCGCGTAAGTTAAATGCACATGTGACGGGCTAGCCGGCAGTGACCTAGCCCAGGGGTTTTGAAAGGGCAAAAGATGATTGGAGGACCTGGGATTCCCTTTCCTCACCAATCTGGTAATGATTTGGCCCAGGGGTTTTGAAGGGGTAAAAGATGATTGGAGGACTTGGGATTCCCTTTCCTCACCAATCAGGCCCCAGAGACTCACCC